CCGTAAGAAAAACTTGACGGATAAACCTGTTTAGGGCACCTGCTGATGCGAGGAGAGCGGTATCGCTACGAGGTTAGAGGGTAAATCAAATCTTAGCAGTGGAGCCAAGACCCCAAAGTTATTGTTGCAAGCATTTGGGACAGCTTTTGTTTGGCTAGTTTGTGCCAGAACAGCAACATCCTATGGCGCTAAAATAAGTACTGAATGAAAAAATTGTCACGCTACTAAGGAGAGTGATCTTGCCAAGCAAGAATTTGCAAAAGGGGAAGTGCAACTTTCTCCCGTTTCACATGACATTTTTAAAAGACGTATAGAAGGGGAAGGTGTGGGAAGGAATTAAAAAAAAAATTAAAAGGAATAATAAAGGAGTAAGAGAACCTAAGACACTAACACGGTTACACCTGCACTTAGTGGCATGATGGGCAAAGGAACTGACCATACACGTGGGGCAAAAGGGAAGTTTCTCTGCGGGCAAGAGCATTTCTCCCTTTTTCTAACAGGACCTTAGCATTAAAGCTATTCCAGAGGAACACAGAGAGTTGCACTGCCCCCACACTACCACAGCTGTAGCTGCCTCCAAGTAAGAGGATGAGCATCTCTAGAGCTCTCCAACTTTGACTGTGACATCATTTATTAAAATAAGAAATCAAGATATGCTTTGTATACATATAGTAGAGAATCAATTCTGGCTGACTAAAATGTTTGTTGACACTGGCAAATACCTACCATGGGAAATTCCCTAAAGAGGCCCCTAAATATCAGTCAGTTGTTGTTCTCCATTTATTTCAGATGACTTGCTCTATCCACAGTTTTTAAGTTGAGCGGGGAACAGGAAAGCAAAGGCTGTCATGGAATTAAAAACTACATTAAAGTGATCTTGTCAAGATAGACCTTTACAAGCCTGGCACAAAAGCAACGACTCTTGGAGAGTATAAAAATACAATAGAAATACAATACAAAACCACATACAAAAGCCACCAAAAGTCACTGCCAGAGATGGAACAGAGCAGAGCTTCCTCCTCTGTACCATTTAGGTACACTTACTTGGGAGACTTACTCTGGGTCTGATTACAGATTTGCTGAAATAAGTATCACAGAGCAGAAATATTCCACACTGGGCAGACACTTGAACTTTTGAAAGCTTAGCCATGAAATGATTTCAAAGGTTGTGGAAGAGAAAAAGAAAGTGTTTTCTTCATATAAAAGTAATATAATTTAAACTCACTCATCCCTAAACTTCCCCATCTCATTCTCTGGAGATGGAGCTTCAAGTGGAGGTAGATTTTGTGTCAGCAATGTCCTCTGCTTTCTCCATGGGAAGTCAAATGTGTTTGGGAAGATCGTGCTGAGTCATAGGCTGGACTTGATGATCTCAGAGGTCTTTTCCAGACTCAATTCTGTGATTTTGTGTAATTTTCTTGGGGGCAGGTGGGAATTGGAGGCTCTCATTTACAGCAGAAGAGACTCAAGTTATGCCCAGGCAGCTGGTAGGAGTGAAGCTGGGCAGAAGTGATGCTGTGCCTGTGAGGTGGTGGATGAATCCTGATGCTTGGCTGGACTAAGGGGCAGGAAGCTGTGGGGGAAGGACAGGATGCTTGGAAGAGAACGGGAATGTTGTAAAGCACAGCTTATGGGGAAAAGAAAGGTGAGAAATGGCTTCTAGGGGAGTGAGCTGAGGTTAGGGCTTGGAAGGAGGAGGGTCAGACAGGGCAGGGTTCGTTTGGAGGGAAGAAGGCAAGCAGTCTGGGTGGGAGATGCTGGAGCTTGCTCCTTGGTGGATATGGGCTGCTGCAGAAAGCCCTCCTCGTTTCAGCAGCCCTTGTCTCACTGTTGAGCCTGGCTGAGGGTTGAGAAAAACAGAGAAAGGGAACCAGCTGCACGCAGGTAGCATGGCCACTCAACTCGAGCTCCAAAACCTTTCCGGTGTCTTCCTTTCATAGAACGTGTTGGACTGGAAGGGACCTTTAAAGGTCATCTAGCCCCACCCCCCTGCAGTGAGCAGGGACACCTTTAACTGAATCAGGTTGCACAGAGCCCCATCCAGCCTGACCTTGAATGCCTCCAGGTATGGAAACTCCACCACCTCGCTGGGCAACTTGTGCCAGTGTTTCATCACCCTCATAGTAAAGAACTTCTTCCTGATACCCAGTCTAGATCTACCCTGCTCTAGTTTAAAACCATTGCCTCTCATCCTGTCACTACACACCCTTGTGAACAGTCCAGCCCTAGCTTTCCTATAGGCCCCTTTCCCACAGTGATGTGTATAGCTAGGTGTGATGGTGAAAGCTAATTTTAAAATAACTGCTAGGAAAGTGCTGCATATTTATCTTTCTTAAAGCCCAGTGGGACGAGAGTTAAATCACTTGTACGGTATAGATAGATTAAACTATGTTGTCCTACAGCATCCAGCAGATGTAACTCCTTTGGGAAACTCCTGCATAGACTTACTGCTCTGGAGTAATCAAATGTACCAAATTCTTTCCAACAAAACCTTTGCACAGCTCCCTGCTATCGGCACGTTTCCTGTTTATACATTTTTACTGAGTGCACAAACCGGTGGGCAGCACAGTCAGCTATTTGTTGTCCTTTACCCTGATAAAAACGTAACTCACTTGAGTTTCAGCAAAACAGTGGGATGCAGGGTTTTGATCTGGATTTAGGCCTGGAGAGCCATTCTCCTTCCCAGTGATCCAGATTGCTGGTCAGGCCCTGGTTCTCCACTAAGTCTATGTGGTTTGGTTTTCATGAGAAAGACAGGCACAACACCAGCTTCATGCCTTCTGCTCTGATTCCAATATTAGTGCATTTTACTGCTATTCATGGCCTCAGCCACCCACCCACAGAGTTATGTCGTTTGAACTGAAGTTTTGCAGCTGTCAAAAATGCAAATACTTAATGGGACATTACATGGTAGTAGTACCTAATTTACCTACTTCTGCTACTATGCTAAAACAGTCAATACTAAGTTTCTTGCTTATTTAAATAACAGAGGTGCTAAAGTCAATCATGTAATGCTATTGTTTGCTTTTTATTTTAGTTACGGATTTCTGTTGCTGGTCCTTCATATCCTGAATGATGGTAAGTTCAAAGTACTTCAGTTTAAAATGAAGCTGCCCTCCCTTTAACATGTTCGGCCAAATACACAAAGTAGTTGTAATAAGTCTTCTACTACAGTTCCAAAAATCCCTTTCAAAACAAAGGTATCATCTAGTGATATTTAGATGTTTTTAGAGTTGCCTCTCCTCTTTTCTTGCTTAGTCACTGAGAAGGACCTCAACAAAGTCGTTAAGGAAACTCCCTGGACCCAAAATCAGGAGAAACTGTACCAGGCACATTCTCAATAATTACCAGCTGGCCTGTTCCTGGAGAACACCTGTAGTGCAAGATGCCCCTGTCTTCCCAGG